CCCCGGGGGAGGAGGAATGTGGGGCAGGGGGGCTTCCCGTACTCTGCGGGAAGGGGGGTCACCCTGGGAGAGGCCCATGCCAGCTTCTCTCTGGTGGGGAGGGTGGGATCTTGGAAGGAGGCTGGTGCAGCCAGGGCACCTCTCCCCCGACTGGCACCCTGTTCCCTCTCCCCAGCCCCAGGCCTCAGGCCCCCAGCCCCAGTACTCCAGCTCCATCCCCAACACCCTGGCCCCCAGCCACAGAACTCCATCCCCAGCCCCCCTCCCCAGCACAGAACCAAAACCCTCAGTCGATATCTGCCTTTGGGGTTGGAGGGGAGAGGGGGGGCGATTGCATGGTTCGCCTAGGGTGCCAGTTGCTGGCAGCTAGTCTAGGGCTGCGCCTCAGGCCCCCAGCCCCAGTACTCCAGCTCCATCCCCAACACCCTGGCCCCCAGCCACAGAACTCCATCCCCAGCCCCCCTCCCCAGCACAGAACCAAAACCCTCAGTCGATATCTGCCTTTGGGGTTGGAGGGGAGAGGGGGGGCGATTGCATGGTTCGCCTAGGGTGCCAGTTGCTGGCAGCTAGTCTAGGGCTGCCCCTGCTCACAGGTACACAGAAAGATTGAGTACACTAGGTGTAGATTAAACACAAGCAGCCTGATCCATCCCAGAGTCCCTTTCTCTGGTTCTCACAAGCTTTTCAAAGCAGGTTCTGGAACTCTCTGAAGCTGGCACAGTAATGTAGGGAGGTACTTATTAAACTTTTTTGTATTGTGAACCACCCTGAAACAATCTTGGCAATATTATTCTACTATGAGTTCAGGGTTATCATCTCTGAGGCAATGATAATACTGGATTTACTGGATTAAAAAAAAAGAAGTGAGGATATATTAAAGCTAACAAAAATAATTTAACTTTAATCTGGGTGCTGATGTTATTTTGTTACACACACTTCATACCAGAGATCGATTTCCTGTCTCTGAGGAGAGCAGGAACTTTACATTTTAGCGCATGAAGTCCTTCAATTTGTCCCCTGCAACATTTTCTATCCCTCCCTCCAGTATTTATTCTGTACCTTCTGTTCATGTGATCAGCAGAATTTACATTAAGGATATTAAAATGCGGTTAATCGACTATTAGACGGAATTTCCATCAACTAGTCAAAAGGCACATCTGTATTCCTTCTCCTGCAGGGGCTCTTGTACATTTCAAAGGAGGAAATGCGGAACTCTGTGTACAGCCCAGGGCCAGCGGGAAGTCCCGCTGACTCCTGGCTGCACACAGCATACATGCTTTGAAACGTACAAGAGTCCCCAGCAGGAGATCCATGCTACACAGCATGCCGCTAGGAGCCCAGGGTGAGCTGGGGAGTCCCCAGCTCACCCCAGGCTCACTAGCAGCTGTCCCTTTGAAATGTGCAGAGACAGCTTTTTAGAGGGGCAGCCCGCCAACACTGCTGATCTGCCTCTGTGGTGATTCAAAGGATGAGTCTGGGCTCAACTGCCCCTTTAAAATGGGTGGAGGCAGCAGTTTCAAAGGGGAAGCCGCTGCACAGCTAACCCTGGGCTCCATGGCTGCCCCTTTGAAAGGGGCACAGACGGCACTTTAAAGGGGCTGCCAGTGCACAGCTGCCCCTTTGAAACGCCGCCTTGGGGTTTCAAAGTGTACCCCGTCCCTCCCCTTGCTGCCTCTATCAAAGGCAGGGGGGAAGGGATATCGACTAGTCAAAATACTATCAGATAAGCAAATGCTTATCAGATAGTCGACTAGTCTTTTACATCCTTAATTTACACCACTTAGGCACAGCCCCCAAAATGTATAAGGCAGTCAAGTATGGCCAGGGCCAAAGGGAGATCAGATTGGTGCTGTTTGAGGGACGGAAAACAAACCCAAGAGGAAGGCAAGTTAAAGCACCAACCTGACAATAGCTTTCCGGCAGGAAATCATCAGGCATGGGCGGGGAGCAGTCCCAGGCTCAACAGCACAGGCCTTTGCCAGGCACATCACTCATCCATCCAGGGGCAAGGTCTCTGTGAGGCGCGAGAGAAAGAGAAAGTGAACTCCCAAAGTACCATGCAACAGCAGGGACCCGGGGGCTGCCGCCACCGCGTGGCCCCCGGCAGAGAGACCGGGATCCCTGGGGCTAAGCCCTGCAGCGGGACGGGGATCCCGGGGGCTGACCCATCTATCCCTCTGCAGAGAGACAGGGGGCTCTGGGGCTGCC